CAGAGTCCTCCAAACCCTTTCCCACAGCCTCCTCTGCACCCCATAGCCCCTCCCTTCTCCCCAACACCCTCTCTCTCATTCTCCTGAGTCTTCCTCCCAAATCATTCTGTTCAGAACCCCCCCCCCCACTTCCCCATCACCCTCCTCCCTACATGGCCTTTTCTCTTCATCATCCCCTGAGAAACCCCTATTGCCCTTCCTGTTCCTGCGTTCCTCACCAGAAATACGCTGCCGTGGTAGTTACGGACTAACCTGCCCCAGCGCCTGTTCCCTGCTGAAGACATGGGTAGCGGGGTACTCGGATGCAGGGGCGTGTATGTCCAGTGCTTCCCAAACTCCGTGTCTAATATTTACTCGGTCTAGTCTCCCTATTCTTCTTCACAGAGTGTAGATGTTAAGAATGGAAACGGAGCAATACGGTCATTCTAATGCACAGCACAGGCCCCCGAATGTCACCCGGTGGGTCCTTTATTTTACTGCATACAATCACAGCTGGGTTCAAAAAAGGATTAGATGCGTTCATGAAGACACACCCACCCATGGCTATTAGCTGAGATGGTCAGGGATGTACGCCCATGCTCCAGATGCCCTGGCCAGAAGCTGGGATTGGGTAACAGGGGATGGAAAATTGCCTTGTGTTGTTCATTCACGCTGAAGCATCTGGCGCTGCACTGGCCCAGAGACAATTCTGAGCTAGGTGGACCCATGGTTTTGACATAGTATGGTCATTCTTACGAGCCCACCCCTGCCCAGCAGGAGTGCCTCTGTTAGAAACAAGTCTAGTCTTGATAGAAGGTCTTCAAGTGATATAGTGATAGAAATGTAGCCGTGTTAGTCTGGGGTAGTTGAAGCAAAATGCAGGACAATGTAGCACTTTAAAGACTAACAAGATGGTTTATTAGATGATGAGCTTTCGTGGGCCAGACCCACTTCCTCAGATCAAATAGTGGAAGAAAGTAGTCACAACCATATATACCAAAGGATACAATTAAAAAAAAGTGAACAAATATGAAAAGGACAAATCACATTGCAGAACAGAAGGGGGATGCGGGGGGGTGGGAAGGGGGAGGAAGGAAGGTAAGTGTCTGTGAATTGCTGATATTAAAGGTAGGGAGAGTGGGATGTTAGTGAGTTAATGGTATTACAGGTGATAATTGGGGAAACTGTCTTGGTAATGGGTGAGAAAGTTCAAAGACTTGTTAAGTCCTTGTTGGTAAGTGTCGAATTTTAACATGAATGACAGTTCAGAGGATTCCCTTTCAAGTGCAGATGTAAAAGGTCTTTGTAGCAGAATGCAGGTGGTTAAGTCATTTAGAGAGTGTCCTTTCTGGTTAAAGTGGCAAGAAACTGTTTTCTCTTTGTGATCTTGTCTGATATCTGTTTTGTGGGCATTAATCCTTTGGCGAAGTGTCTGAGATGTTTGTCCAATGTACATAGCAGACGGACACTTTCGGCACATGATAGCGTAGATTATATTTCTGGATGCGCAGGAATATGTGTTCTTGATCTTATAACTCACTTGGTTAGGTCCAATAATGGTATCAGCAGAATGAATATGTGGACAAAGCTGGCAACGGGGTTTGTTGCAAGGGAAGGTACCAGGGTTGGTATTAGTGTGGTATGTCCTGTGGTGGTTGGTAAGAATCATCTTGAGGTTAGGTGGTTGTCTATAGGAGACTATGGGTCTGTCTCCCAGAGCCTCTTTGAGTATGGTATCCTGTTCCAATATAGGCTGTAGTTTATTGATAATGTGTTGGACAGGGTTAAGTTGGGGGCTGTAGGTGATGACAAGTGGTGTTCTATTGTTGGTTTTCTTGGGTCTGTCTTGAAGTAGATGGTTTCTAGGTATTCGTCTGGCTCTTTCAATTTGCTTTTTTGTTTCTCTGGGTGGGTAGTTGAGATTTATAAATGCTTGGTAGAGATCCTGAAGCTTCTGGTCTCTGTCAGTGGGGTTAGAGCAGATGCGGTTGTATCGAAGGGCTTGGCTATAGACGATGGATCGTGTGGGGTGTTCTGGATGGGAGCTGGATGCATGTAGGTAACTGTATGAGTCGGTGGGTTTTCTGTAGAGAGTGGGGTCTAATTTTCCATTGTTGATTTGTACGGTGGTGTCCAGGAAGTGGATCTCTCGTGTAGAATGGTCCAGGCTGAGGTTGATATAGAATTCACCACATCCTTAGATAAATTGTTTTGATGGTGTAATGGATAGGAGGAGTGCTGGCCAGCACCCAGTCACTAAAGGGTTAAATTCAGGTGGCTAGCAAGGGTGTTGGCACAGACCAGAAGAATCAATCAAGACAGAGTGCTGAAATTTGAATTGGATATAGATACCTTGCCTGCTTTCTTTGTGTGGGAGAGTTGAGCCAGGAATTGAAAGAGACAGACCGATTTACACCCAGAAAGGACTACCATGTCTGCAAGGAATTTGGGGCATGGAAGTGGACTGAACCAAGAGAAGATCGTGAGTAAGTAAAGGGAAAAAGTGACTCTAATCGCGATCAGGATATTTCCTTTATTTTGTAGTTTGGTTTGAACTGCTCTGTGTGAATCTCTGCCTCCCCTCCTCATTCACCATCTAAACATTGTTCCCAGAGATTTTCTGTGTTTTGTTTTCCTTAGTTGCTCTGTAACGTCCAGCAACCAGGTATGCTTTATTTAGTATATTTTTTGTTTTGTAATAAAAAAATCACTTTAAAAGTGACAATTTGATTCTTGTGTCCTGGAGAGTAACGGGTCAGTGTGTACATTTGCATGCCTGAGACTGAGCGGTCAGCTACCAGAGACTGCAATTGGTTTTTCTCTTTTATTTTTTTTCAAGCTCTTTTGGGGCAAAAGAGCTTGGGATACCCCTGGGGGAGAATTAAAGTGTTGGCCCCTGGTTTTAGGGATAAAGTCACTTGATGGTGGCAGCTACTCCCTCTTCCCCCTTCCGCCGCCCCCACAAGCCAGTGAATCTGTGACTCTGGGGGAGTTTTGGTAACCAGATCCCATAGAAGTATATTTCAAGTCTGCAGGCTCTTTCTACACTTAAAGTGCCAGAGTGGGGTACAGCCCTGACAGTTGGTTAATCACCCTCTGCCAAAAAATGTACTTCTTATTTCCAGTTTCACCTTCCTTCCAGCCATTAGATATTGCTGTGTTTTTGTCTGCTAGACCAGAGACCCCGTGGCTATCAGAAATATTTTCCCAAACTAGGTACTTACGGACTGTGGTAAATCACCTCTTAAACTTCTCTTGTGGAAATGAAATAGATTGAGCTTCTTTGGTCTTCCAGACTGTGAATCACTCTGAGGTTCTTTTCTGAATCCTTTCCAATTTGTCAACACCTTTGCAAAGTGTGAACACATCAGTTGGACATAGTATTCCAGTAATGGGCTCTGCCCTGTTCAGAGTAATATCTCGCCTGCTGATATAACTATTGCTATTTGCTCTCTCACCTACCACTTGGAGCTCAGGTTCAGCTGATTTTCCTCTCTGATCTCTGGGTCCTTTTCTGTGTCATGGCTTTCCCAGATACTCTACTCTGTAAGGGTATAGACTTTGTTCGTACATGTATGACCTTGCTTTGAGATGTGCTAACCCTGGTGGTGTTCAAATGAGCACAGCTTATTAAGCTATCAAGATCATAGAATCATAAAACACTAGAACTGGAAGGGACCCTGAGAGATCATCAAGTCCAGTCCCCTGCCCTTACGGCAGGACCAAGCACTGCTAGATTATCCCTGACAAGTGTCTGTCTAACTTGCTCTTAAATATCTTCAGTGAAGGAGATTCCACAACCACCTTAGTTAATTTATTCCAGTGTTTAACCACCCTGACAGGACATTTTTCTTAATGTCCAACCTAAACCTCCCACGCTGCAGTTTAAGCCCATTGCTTCTTGACCTGCCATCAGAAGCCAAGGGGAACAATTTCCCCCTCCTCCCTGTAACGCCCTTTTAGATACTTGAACTGCTATCATGTCCCTCTCAGCAGAGTTGTTGACTCGAGTCCCACGACTTGAACTCGAGTCCCACTTAAGTTGCCTTGGTGACTCGACTTGAGACTCAACTCAAGTTCATTGTTTGTGACTTGAGACTCGACTTGAGACTTGCTAATTTTGTTAAATTGACTGGGTGAAAAAATTGTCCGAAAATGCCGATATTGATGGCTTGTACAAAAGTGACTTGGCATTTTTTAAATTAAGACTTGAGACTCGACTTGGGACTTGACTCGAAAGTGACTTTAGGGACTCGAGACTCGACTTGAGACTTGAACTGTCGTGACTTGAGTCTCGACTTGGACTTGACAATGACGACTTGAAGACAACACTGCCTCTCAGTCTTCTCTTTTCCAAACGAAACAAGCCCAAGTCTTTCAGTCTTCCCTCATAGCTCATGTTCTCTTGACCTTTCATCATTCTTGTTACTCTTCTCTGGACCCTCTCCAATTTCTCCACATCTTTCTTGAAATGTGGTGCCCAGAACTGGACACAATACTCCAACTGAGGCCTAATCAGCACAGAGTAGAGCGGAAGAATGACTTCTCGTGTCTTGCTCACAACACTCCTGTTAATGCATCCCAGAATCATGTTTGCTTTTTTTGCAAGTGTCACACTGTTGACTCATATTTAGCTTGTGGTCTACTCTGACCCCTCGATACCTTTCTGCAGTCTTCTTCCTAGACAACCTAGACTAGATCATTGTGTAGAACCAACCTGCTCTTAATATTATTCACCTCATCTTCACTGTTTTGATGCTACGTACAAAATGTTACCAGTGATGGTTTTATATTCTTTTCTAAATCATTAATGAAGACCTTGACCAGCCCAGAGACACGAACAGCTCCCTGTAGAACTGCATTAGAAACACACTGCTGAATGCACAAGAAATAGGAGTCTGGGGGGTGCTGCAGCACTGCCAGGTTTTGGACATCCCAAACACACGCCCCTGCTGGCCAGGGTCCTGGCTGTCAGCCGGTTGCTGCCCAGGGCCTCTGCTGCTGACCCTGCGTCCCCCTCAGCCACCAACTCCACTCTCATGCCCCACTGTGGGGTCTCACCTCGCCCCCGGGCCTGTGGTCCCAGGTGCTAGCCCAGCTGTAGGGGTGGTGAGGGGCACCGGCAGAAAGGAGCAAGTGGGTGTTCCCGCCCCAGTGGTGGGATGCTGATTCCCTGGTTTCAGTCGTGCGTTTGAGCTCTGTCCGTGTGTACCCCGCTCCGCAGGGGCTGCTGTGAGTCGTGTCAGGCTGGCTTGTCTGTCAGCCTGCGGGTGCAGACTGTGCAGCATCATGGCCAACCCCACCTGTACTCCCACCAGTAGCACACCTGGCCGGCCCTTCTCCGAGCCCCTTCGATGCTGTGCATGCCGGCAGGACTCGCAGGGGGGCTGGAGGAGCCAGCTCTTTGGGGGTGCCCTGGGGAAGGTGAAGGGGGCAGGGTGAGATGGGGTGGAGGGTGGAGGCTG